CTTTTCTGGGCTCATCATGGTGGTGAGGTGGAAGAGGAGGTCTGGCAGCGTCTCGAAGAGATCCGGGGCGGCGCGTCGCATAGCCTCCTCGAAGCGCTCGGCATCCTCGCCGGGAATTCCGTACCACGTCTTGGTCTCACCCCAGTGCTGATAGTTGATTGAATAGGTGTAGTGATCCTCGTTATGCCAGCAAAAGGTGCTGAAAATCATGCCGACATAGATCCAGGGCACCGTCATTCCCGAGATGTCCGACTTGATGTACTGCAGCAGCGAGCCAGGCAGGATGGGTAGGTTGTTCAGGTTCCAGCGGTCGCGCGAGTAGACGCTCAGCGGATGCGTCTCCTGAGTGGGTAGCGCGCTGCCGTGCGTTGTCGAGTGGACATCGGCGCCGTATTCGACCTCGACCTCCTCTTCCTGGCTATGCACGAGTCGCCAGAACTCGCGTTCGACGTCGTCTTCAGAGACGATCAGATCTGTGCCTGCGATGTTGCGTGCCAGACCGTTGATGCATGGGCCGTGGGCTGCATCAGTCTTGCGCGCAGACTCGAGCTCTTGGCTCTCCTCCGGCTTCCAAATACGATCGGGGTGGCTGGACCACCACGACCGCTTGAAAGCTTCGGCGCGCTGCCAGAACGTATAGAGGCTGTGCGTCTCGCCATCGTCGAAGCCAAAGTCGTGGCCTGTACCGACCAGACAGGGCGGGCAAAACCACTGAGACTTGGGGATAGCAGTTAGCGGCGGCTGGAGGCAGTACATGTGGTAGCCGCGGTTGCATTCGTCGCACAGCAGCATGTTGAGTCCATCCTCGCCTCGCAAGCAGATTTCGCACATCTGCTCCTCGGTACCATGGGCGACGGCAGCGGAACTTCGGTGCTGTGTGTCGGAGTCGCCATGCGGGCTCACACCTTTGCGTGTACGCCGAGCCGACACGGGCGTGGCAGGTGATGCGACGCTGACTGCACTCGCGGTGCCGAGCCCGGACCGGGAAGACGAGCCGGTGGCATTGACTTCGGAACGCTTGCGTGTACTTCTGCGGGTGCTCGCACCAACCGAGGGGCTCTGGGAGCTAGGATCTCCACCATTCGATGCGATGAGTTCGGCAGTCTGCGACGCCGATGGCTCCGGTGTGCCCGATGCCGTGAGTCGATCTCCGGCACCGGTGCTATCGAGGCCCGGCGACATCGAGATGCGCTTGGCTGTTTCCAGGAGCTCAGATCCTGACGAGAGGCCAGCCATCACAGCACCTTGCGCAACGCTGGGGCTGACAGAGGAAGCGGAGGACCCGGCCGGTCGAGTCTGTTCTCGGACTTGGCTCATGAACTCTTCAAATGGCCAGATGATGCGCGAGTAAGCAGCTTTCACCTGTGTTGAAAGTTGCGAGCAGTCCTTCTCCGCATAACCGAGCTTGCGCGTCGCATCAGACCACTTACGACCGCGGCAAACGGCGTCGTAGCCGCCGAAGGAGGCAATCACGAGCTTGAGCTGATAGAGATCGACAAGTCGGCCATCAATGCGGGGCACAGAGACCCGCTTGCGCCCTTGCTGCGCGTGGAACTTTTGCAGCTGCTCCTGGTAGTTTTGCGAGGCGCGAGCATCGGCGCTGAGCGAGTTGAGACGCTGCACACGGGTGCGAAAGCGGAACGTCTGCTCGTCGAGGACACATTCGGGATTCCAGCCTTCGGGCGGAACAATCTTGACGATGCCGGACGCCTTGCCGTTGCCGCCGTGAGGATGTGCAACCCAAGAGATGTACTTCATTGGATCTTCAAATTCTTCGAGTGTTGGGTAAAAGATGGGTGCTTCTTCCAGCTCAAACAGTCGCGGTCGCAGTCGCGGCGCGGGGCGTCGCGGGGTACTGGCGCTGGTCGGAATTGCCGGCTCGGAGCGCGAGGACGAGGAGCCCGACGGTGCGGTTCGGTCGAAGACGAGGGGCGGAAACGATTGAGCGACGGTCATCTTCCGAACGGGATGATGCGACGGACTGGCGGAAATAGCAGCGGTCTCGTGTCGGACAGAGGAGGAGGACGAGACCGCATCGTCCTGCTGCCCATCCTTCCCAGCGAGCGCATTCATGGCCTCGGTCTGCGATGGGGAGAAATCAGAAAGGAAGAAAAAAAGAAAAAAAGAGAGAGAGGAGGGGGGGGGGGGTGTTTCCAATCGGTAATGGCAATGCAAATGAGGGTGGGGTGCGGTCAGCAGAAAGGACAAGTGTCAGCGAACAAGTTTCTGAGCGGTGGGCTGAGTCGCGGAATGAGCAGGTGGGAGGCATGGAGGCGCCGAAAAAAATTGGCAACAGCCATATAGATCGACGACAAGGCGCGGAAGCGCGTTCATGGGCGGAATGCAGGACAAACTCACTTTGCTCTTGCGATCGGTGCGCTTCATGCCTTGCATCTTCGGAGCATCGACTTGCGCGGCGGCTTCATTCTCGCTGTCGTCACCGGCGCTGGGGCCGAAATCTGCAGACGAGACAAGGACGGGCTCTACGCGACGAGGTCGACCAGGAGACTTGGTTGGACTTGCAGCAGCAGAGGATTTGGTCGGTGAGGAGTGGGGGGTCTGAAGTTGCGAAGTTGCGTGGCGAGACGCAGAGGTCGAAGCACCGGCGTTGGTATGCGCTGCGGCCAGGGGTGATGCATCACTAGCTGTGGAGGGCTCTGGCTTGACAGGCTCGTGGCCGTTAACGGACTTGACGACGATGCGCTGAGCCGGGGAGTCGACCGAAGAGGTCGACTGGGTGTTGACGGGCATCGTCGCGTCTCTGCAAGCAGCCGCACCGGCCGGGACCGGGGACTTGGATGGCAGAGACGCTGCAGCCTATGCTACAGCCTTTATCGAGAGGGACGGAGCGAGGGTGAGAGGGGAAGAGCTCGTACAAGCAGCGACAGCGACGGATGCGCTACGTTGTCTGCAGACAGTCTATGGAACAACGTCGGTCGGCAGAAGTAGGTAAATATTGATGGATGCTCCGAGAAGCAACAACAGGGAAACGTCGTCAAAATACAGCTGCCGGGAATTCTCGGCTGCCATGCAAGACAGGCAAGGAGCTGCCTGAAGTATGCAGTGCCAACTACGGCAGTATAGCCGGGCCTTTGAGAGAGGAAATTGGCGATGATGGTGGCGGAAGCGCCGATCTGAGATATACAGCGGTATGCGCAGGAGAGAAGCAAAGTCGGTCGAGAGGACAGGCAGGATTCAGCGATCAAGGTCAGGATGGAGAGGGCAAGAGGGCTGAAGGGTAAGAAAGAGATGAGCAGTGGTAGGGGTACAGCGAGTAGTGCGGATAGTGCGAGTGGAATATCCGAAATTGGGTGCCCGTCAAGGGGACTGACACGGCCGCGTGGAAAGCATGCACAGGTTCGCAGAAGTCGACCAGGGAGAATGTCGCAGACAGCAGCGACCACGAAGCGCGAGATCCAGCTCAGCTTGTCAGTGATTGCAGACTGCACTAATCTGTCCGACGCACCTCAGAGTGCCACTTCCGAGACTGCGCCCGGTGGAATATAGGACAACGCCACAGGACGATCTCGATTGCCTCCTGGATGCTACAGTATCTAGAGTTAGATAGCGCAAGCGCATTTAAATGTGTAGAAACCAAGTTCAAGTTGGCCGAGAGAGTGAAGAAAGAGCGTCTCGTGTAGTCGGGGTTTCGGCTTGTGATGCGGACGAGGACGCAAAGTGTGGGCTTCTTCTCTTCCTGTGACGGACGTTGGCACCGTTAAGCACAATCATCACAACCGCCATCCCTCGAATGTGCAGAGTGCGAAACGAGCAGCAACTGCTACCATATTCGTGCTCATCAGATTACAACACCTGTGATACTTGTACCGTCGCTGAGGCGGCTCCAGAACTGTGTTGGAACAGCACTCTGCTGAGCGTTCCAGCCGAGTCCTCTATGCCAAGGCAAGTGCAGATAAAAAGCAAGTACAGTACAGCGGCGGAGCCAAATCATGCTCATGTGGGAGCGCCGACGGCAGGAAACAGACAACTCGGGCGAGCTGGGCGAGCTGAGCGAGCGGACGAACAGGCAGACAGACAGATGGACCAGCAGGCACTAGCCAAGCCCGGGGAAGAAAGGGCAAGTTTGACTTGGTCTGCTGCCGTTAGTGCGAGGGCCCAAGTGCCAAGTGGATCCGACCTGACGGCGGATGAGAATCTGGACAGGTCTGAGGGCGAGCGTCAGACAAGGCCACACACTCGGGTGAAGACCTACTTTCCGCCTCCCGCCTTCTGCTTTTACTGCGAGTCGGCTCGAGGAAGGATTATTATTATTGTCTACCACAATCAATTAATACATATACGTACTACTACAGCATTGGGCAAGACGTTCAGTCGAGAAAAAAACGAAAAAAAAAAGAAAAAAAAAGAGAACAAAATACGAGTGTAATTTAGTCAACTCAACTTGAAAGGTGAACCCCCTGCCAAACGCAGCAACGCAGTCTGTGGATGCCGGCACAGAAGCGAGTGCAAAGGAGGGCCAAAAAAAAAAAAAAAAAAAAAAAAAAAAAAAAAGTTGGAGCTGCAACCTAGCATTATTCTTGCGTTGCAGGCTTAGGCGAAACGCGAAGACAAGGGTCTAGACAAGGCACAATTTAGAAAGGCGGAATGCGCAATTCGGCAGGAAAGCCAAAGACCACAGAACACCAACCTGGCGAGGGAACGCACCGCACCGCCGCAAGAATTGCAGGAATAAACAGTTTAGATTGTAATTCTACGTCTGCTGCGGTACGCACTGAGGCACGGTGTCAAATAGCTGTAGGGAGCGAACCGAGCAATCGGAATGAGAATGAGAAAGGCAGATGGAGTAACTAAGCTGGTGAGTAGGAGCTGCTGCCCAGCGAAGGCCTGGAAGGGCGCGGTGCGCGTGCGCATCTTGGCTTCGCAGGCCGCAGCCCTCACTCTGACTACGACAGCAAACCTGATTTCAGGGATGAAGCTTGACCTGAAAATTAGGATTAGATTTGAGTACGAGAAGCTCGAGTCCAATGGTGTCAGTCTTTGCTCCTTTAGCTCAGCGGCAGAGTTCACGCTTTACACCATCCCTTCTGTAACTTGAATCTGGGGTCGTAAGGCAACAGATCGCGTACGGTCACAGGTTCGATCCCTGTAGGGAGCATTTTTGGGGAGGGCGAATTGCTCTTTCCATGTCTACCCTCTCGTTCAAGGTGGTGTGAGTTTCCAAGCTATAAGCATGGTTTCTTCTCGACTGTACATGTTCCATGAGTATTTGGGGGATCGAAGTCCTATTGATGTTCCAAGCTGCAAGTTGGCGCCAAGAACCTGCCTTGGGCCCACTTTTATTTTGGCACGCTCACTTGAGGGGGTGACGTGAAGATCACCCGTGGTCTGTGCGTGCGTGTTTGGCCTGCAACAAAAATATAACTCAGTCCAGGCCTTGCTACGTCCCGCCAAGGTGCACCGCCCCTCTGAAAACCTGTGCCTCAATCTGTTTTGATTTTTCTGACTCCGGCGGCGTGAAACAGGCGCACGGGCAGCGGCTGTGCACTTCACCCCAGGCGGCGGAACACGACATCTTCGGCTGAGTACCGATGGACCCATCCTGCGACAGGACAGCCGGAACAGTACAGTACTCACCACTGTACCGTACAGCTAGAGTTGCTCCAGCTGCTGTGGCTGCTGTGGCTGTGATGAGCGAGCGGGTCTACCATCAAGGCCGGAACAGTCTCTCTCCGCATTCAGCTCTTGGGCGACGTACGTTTGGTCGTCGTCTCCAATCACACCATGGCTGATGACGCCCTAAAAGAGCGGCTTAAGTCATTGCGCGCCTCCCTCAAAGATTATTCTTCATCCACCTCCACACCACCAACAATCACGACTGTTCCTCGATCCTTTAACGCGTGCAGCATCAACACTTCACTCGCACCTACTCCAGAGCCAAGCCGATCACGAGAAATCGCTACATCCGCAGCTTCTCTGACGCCGAGATCGCAGACAAGCAGACTAGTCAAGGCCAACAGTCACGACGATCCAGACAAGGCACTTTTTGAGCGGCTCAGAACTCTCAATCCAACCTCGTCTATCTTGACTTCAAAGGCTACGGCTCGCGCTTCTCTCACAACAGGGGTCGCCGACGCAACCAAGGACGATATCGAAGCACTCATTAGACAGACGCAGGACGAACTCGCTGTCGAAGAGGCCTCTGGCGCTTTTTTTACCCAGGACATCGACTCGGAAGAGTCTGACACAGAAAGTCCAGACTCAATTCAGGCACTAGCAGTCGAGGCCGACAACATCGTCAGTATGGCCCGAGACGCAGTGGCCCTTGAACGACAGATGGGCACCATTCCAGCCGAGATCGGCAATGATCTTGCTGCGCAGAACACACGCGAAGCTGGGTCAGAAAGCTTCGGTCGAGCCATGACCGGTAATAGCAATGACTCCGACCTCGAAGACGCTCTTGCCGATGCCGCGCAGCACGACATTGACGTCACCAGCGATATCGAGCCCTCGACGCCGCTGCCCGCCAACTCGCCACTGCGCTCGGATCGAGGAAGCGGCCGGGGACGTCGCTCGCTGTGGTCTGGCCGCGGTGTCTTCTTTGTGGTGATGGTGACGCTCATTGTTTTGGCCGTCTCCTCAGTGCCTGGAGCGTACGCCTTCGGCGCCGGCAACATCCCTTCCTTTGCCTACATGGAAGGTAAGGCCTTCCGTCATGGCGATATCGAGGACATTCTCGAGGATCTGGCCAAAAAGGTCGGCGGTGGCCTCTTTGGTGCCGCCAAATTTGGCGGTCTCGACATTAAACGCATCTACTTTGGCAATTGGCTGCGGGACTACAGTCAGGCTATGGACGTCGCTGCGCTGCAGAAGATGAACAAGCAGGCAGTGCTCAACATCGTCATGGTCCTCGGGTTCCTTGCGCATGGCTATGCCACCGCCGAATTCCAGGTCACCGATGACCGGCTTGGCGTCTACCTGCCCGAAGAGCACCTCGACAATCCTAAGGGCTACGCCGATGGCAAAGACGCCCGCCAGTTTGACCCACGTCTGCGCGAGCCCGTGCGGGCGGAGGAGCTCGAGATCGATCCGCGATCCGGTATGAAGAACTACCTGGCCAACGAATCTGGCAACTGGCGCACCGGATCCGGCCTCATTCGCCGCACACTCAAGCGTGTCATCGAGATGGGCCGTCAGGCCCGCTCCTCGGGGCGGGACGCCGACCTCTATGAGGCCTACCGACTCCTCGGTCAGGCGCTCCACACGCTCGAAGACTTCCCGGCGCACAGTAACTGGACTGAGCTCGCTCTTCATCGACTTGGTCACCATCAGGTCTTCCTGCACGTCGGCGACAATGTCAAGGTGCGCGCACCGGACGGTACTATGGTCGCGCCGATTGTCACGGGCACCTTTGGCGGTGCCGATTTCATGCACTCCCTTCTTGGCGAAGCACAGGACCACCTGTCGGAGGCCTCGATCTCGGATCTCAACAAGGCCATCGACAAGGCCAAAGTCCAATCGAGCGGCAACAATCGCAGCGTTGTCCAGGACTTACTCGGCATGCTTGCCAAGGTTCCCGGCGCCGGCGGCAGTGATGTCTCCCGCGGCCTAGAGGAAGTTTCGCGCGGGCCGGCCACGGACCCCAACACCATGTCGCCTCAGGAGATGTACAAGAACCTGTGGAAGATTCTGGAGCTCCGCGACCGTATCATGAAGTCCATCGAGAGCACCATCGAAAAGATCCCTGGACTCAGCAGCCTGGTCGAAAAGCTGACGAATGAGCTTAACGTGTTTGTCTTCACGCTGATCGAGCCCTACGCCAAGCCGATCATGCAGCAAGGCATGAGTGCTCTCAAGCTCGGCTCTGGTGCCGTCGTCAACCAGGCTTCTCAGTTCGAGGTGTTTGATGACATGAATGCCTCAGATCCGACACATTCGATCCTCAGTAAGGATCATTTCGGACTCATCCTCAACGAGGTGGCCGGCAACGTGGCCAAGATCATCGTGCGCCACACTGTGGTCAAGGTTGTCAAGGCCTGGGACGACCGCAACCAGGATGCCGAGCACGTTGCCGACGAGTGCCTGGCACCCATGTTCCATCCTTACTGGTTCAATGGTCAGTCTCAGGTCCAGAAGGACATGATGGACTACGTTGCGCAGTGGGCTCAGTCACATGCTACGGAGATCCGCCGCCTAGACAAGCAAAACGTTCGCAATCACACCAACACTCGCAGCGGAAAGGCTGAGCCGCATACACACGGTAACGATCAGCCTTCGATGGGCTCGTTCCTTGGAGGTGGCAGCAGTCATGCCGCAAATAGCTTTAACAATCACCATGGCAACGCTAGCGGTAGTGGCGGCAATAGCTTTGGTTCAAACATGGCTGGATATGCCTCCAATTACGTTTCAAATCAGATGCACGGTTTTGTCGGCAGCCACATGCCCGCCGGAGCCAACCAGTTCTTCCGCGAAGGGCCCGGCGGTGACGCGACAGGAGGCCGCAGTGAAGGCGACGCACCCAAGTACGGGGGACAGGAAGGACGTCGCTTTGGTAGCAATATCGGTGACTCTGACGACCAGCCCCGTCCGCATCACACGGGAGAGAGCAGCAGCTACTACGGGGACAACGTCAGCAGTAGCGGAAACAACCACCAAAGCAAAGACAACGAAGATCGACGACATGACCGACCCTCCTTCCCCGATGCTCAGCCGAGCGGTCACCAGAGCTACGGAAGTCAGGACCACCCGCCTGCTGGCTTTGCTGCTCCCATGGGTCCCCCACCTGGTCAGTTTGGAGGACCGCTGCAAGGGAGCTACGGCGCACCGCCTCCAGGTGGGTATGGCGGACCTTCCGGACCTCCTGGAGGCTTCGGTGGCTACCCTGGTAACCAAGGCCCTCCAGGTCCGTACGGACAGCCCCCTCAGGGGTACGGTGGTCAGCCCTACCCACCACCTCCCGGTACGAATCAGTGGAATAGCCAGCAGGGAGGCGGCTACGGTGGTGGTGGATATGGAGGTGGATACGGCGGCAGTTACTAAACAATATCGATTTCACCGTTCTCCCTTGGGCCGTCCTTTTTGTTTTGCTTGCTCACTTGTCGATCCGATCCATACTTGTGGATTCTCTGTCGTTGCACCATATTGTATCTGTAATATAGTCTTGTTTCCAGCCTCTCTCCGACATTACGGTTTCGAACAGCCGCCGTGTAGATCTGCGAGGAGCGTCGAATTGCTACAAGTAAGCGAAATTGATATGGTACATGCGGAATGATTCTGATGCGACGATACGGAGAATTGTGATTTCGTGCAGCGCACGCCGATGGCGATGTGCTATGTGCGTGAATGAGAGCGCTGCGGGCAAGTAACGATAGAGTGAGCAGGCCAGCTTAGGCGGTGGGCAGGACGTGGTCGTCGTCCGCAGCTGTGTAGAGGTAGCCTTCGGTGCCGAGCTCTTCAACAGCGTCCTTGATCTTTGCCTGGTCAACGCCTTTAACGAGACGAGCAATATGCGCGACGTGGACACCATCCGGGTGGTTGTCAGCCTCTGCCGAGACGACGGCCATGATCTTCTGGTGCAGCGGGTCAAGGTGCTTGTACTGATCCGCAGCGCTCTGATTCATCGAACCCGAGTAGGCGTTCATGTCGTTTGCCATTCCGCCATTGCCGGCCCCGTTGCTGTGGCCGTTGGCCTGAGACGCTTTAATCCCTTTCGTGTGCTGGAGATGCGAGTGGACGGCTTCTAGACGGTGGAACATGACCTCGTTGTAGTCCACCACTGGTCGCATGTGTCCGGACGAGATGGACTTGCGATTCTGGAACGACTTGAGCGTACCCAGCACCCGAACGTAGACGTTTTGCCTGTGCGAGATCAACAGTACATGAAAGTCAGATCCGGCGCTCCAACGCCATTGGCTGCTCCAAGATGAATGCAAATGCGAGGCCACTTACCGGATTTCGGAAGCCTTCTGGGTGTCATCGCCAGAACTATCGAGCCACTGACGGACCTCAATCTGACCCGTGCCGTCTTCGACGCTGTATGCCACATTGGTTGCGTTTCTTGAGATGTTGCGTACTACCGCGACAAAGGTGAGCTGGCCCAGCTCAGCACCGTCGAGCGTAAATTCGGCATCGGGATGAGGTTGTGACGCATTCAAAATT